TCGACTCTTGTAGATCACCCACTTGGATGGGCGAAGTTAGCATGGCATTTTCTACTTTCTGGAGCGGTTTCTTCGCTTTCGAATTCATATTTTGCAGCGAGACTTGGGCGATTGCGTAGCTAAGGGCCCCCCCCCCCCTCTACTATAAAATAACATAATCTCATTACTCTCAATCTGGGTGGACGGTACCTGTAAGTTTATGAGGAGTAATCCGGAACTCAAGTCAACATGCAACCTTCCAAACTCGCCAAATTACCAAACAGATTTAGATTCCAAAAATCGTTTAGCAAAGCATCTACCTATAATAGTGCCAAAGATCATAAATATAACCATCAAACTGTTGTGAAATAAACTTGTCGCTTATTCGAATTAAAGTTATGGGGCATCCCAGACTTGCATTGCATCATTTATGGCTGAGTTATTGATGTATTATACTTATCTTGGCAGAATGTGAAGAATGCTCACTGCTGAATACTCGGACACTCATATCAATATTGTATTTGAATTATCAACTTATCGTCATAACCATCGTTGAATTAATCTATATCTTGAGACCATTTAAAACATAGGGTAAGGTGGGTAGAACCCAAGAAAGTGAAACTGCCATGAAATTTCCTCTACTTTTCCTCATAATGCATATAAATAGAAGCTGTTTCTAACCATCATTCCAAAGGTTGTCGGTTCTAAGCCCGTCGCTTTTTGTTGTTTTTTTTTCAAATAATTGATATGCACGAAAAGTGATTTTGTTTGATCAAAGCTGCTCATTTTCAAGATTGATTTTTGTCTCAAAATTTTTTATTTCAAGTTGCTGAAGGAGACGAAGAATTATTGGATGCAATTTGTACTCACAAAATATAATTTTGTTTAATGAAGGTCATGCTTATTCAAACCACTGTTTTCCGTCTAGAAATTGCTCTCTTTTGCAATTATTTAAGCCATTTATAAGTTTACTGTTGAGTATATACAAGAATTTTCAAAGCAGGAGTGCCTAAAAAGCTGGAAGCTAAGATACTAATACTACCATGTTACTTTATTCCTATCCACTTTTGAGAGCACTGTCTCCCCTTCCTCTCTCAATATTTTTTCTTTGAATATTTGATGAACTCAGGATTCGTTCAGCTAAGCCATTTTGATGCAACTCATCCTCTTCGAGTGAATGTGTGAATGTCTCTTAGGCTATTATCTCCGTAGAAATCTTGCCATTCCTTTTCACCCGTGCAGACTGTAACGTAAACACCCCGAGTTTTTCATCACTAGTCCGTAAAAACGATGAATCCTCAGCTACGATGAGAATTTCATAGCGTCGAACGGCGTCATTGTGGGCAAAAAAAATCATTGTTTATTCCATTTGAGGTTTTTGCTCATTTTGCACTAAGCAATCTTCTTTAAAGAGAAGAGAACCTGATTATATACTTGTCGTTTGAAAAGTTTGTTAATTAAGGAACACAGTTCTCATCGTTTAGCTGATTTTCATGCACAATTTTTGGCGATAAATATCAAATTTCCAAGTAGTTGCGAAAAATTGGACGCGGGTTTGGTATAGTATCATACTCTATAATAAAGCGCAGGGGGGACCATGTGACTCATGCGTTTGTCGCTATGTCTCGAATGCACCCAATGCACCCAGGATGTCTGCCTTCCGAGATGTTGACTGGAACGCCCTTTCGTGCTCAACTCCATAAACAGTACTATCGATTAGCATTATTATCACCAAGTAACAGCTCGCTTCATTTCAATTAGCGCATTAGGATGTGTCAACTTGGTACCAGTCTATTTTAGTTGCCAATTTCTATAACTTAATTGTACAAAAGCACTGCTTTACAAAGTTGTAAGTGGTGCAGCAGAAATCCCAGATGGGATTTTCCCTCATGAAAGTTCTCGATTTTGATACACCAACAGCCGTATTTTTAGTAATTGTTTAACATTTCATATTGTGAGCAAAATAATGGGATTCTGGCCGCATTGTAACTAAAGGGAGTGTGACAGGCTAGAAAGGCTTTCAAGGAAGGAAAATGGGGAAAATTGAAATATGGCAGATGAAGTTTCGTGAATGGAAGTTAAATCGTAAGCACTTACATGAAGAGTCTGAGGAAAGGAGGCGGGGTAGGATGGAATTTTACTTATTGACTTTGAGATTAAGCGTAGAATCTCAATAGTAGAAGTCGAACTTTATTCGAAAACTTGGTAAAGGATGTTTGAGCAGTAGGTGCGATTTGAGAGGGAAGAAGAGGGAAATGCGGTCTCTCCTCATGAGGAATTACCGCAGGTGGAGCTTTTGGTAGAGTAGAATAGCCTGCACCTTAGCCAGCAAATTCTGTGTGGTACTGTATAAAAAGCTGAATTTTGGCGAAAAGCGTAGGCATACTTTCGATAAGCAACGTTGAGGTTACGCATTGTAATGGCAGCGTCAGCAGAAGGAGAACCCGAAAAGTAGGACAATAATTGCAGAAATATTCAAAGAGTTTCTACTTAGAAAAAGTTTTAAAAGATAATAAGTTTTCCTTCTAAAAAACTCTACTGGAAACTGTTTAATTATTCCGTTCGTAATCTTCCCTCTCTATTCTCCGTAGGTAAGTAACTAATGGGGAAAGAGAAAAGCAAAATCCGCTCAAAACTTCAAACGCAGGAAAATTGCACACATGAAAGTGATATTTACGTTATTCTGTACCAGTAGGGTGCGGGGAGCTGAGGAGAGGGGAGGAAGGGGGAGGGGGAGGCAAGAGAGAGGAATGTACCTGGCATGAACAGAAAAAGCCTGGAGTGGAGTCAAGCAAGTTATTGGCACGCTTCCGTAAAAGTTCTAGCATTGAGAGGATTTTGATGAAGCTAACGCAGCATGTGGCGTGCAGCTATTTGAGTCCAAGTCTGTTAAGGACTGTTGGAGTTTCTTATGAGCTAAAGAGCTAGGGGCTAACTTACCACTCTTCAGTGCTTTCTACATAAAAATTTTGCGTGCCTGAAAGGCATTATGCTACATGGGGTTTGTATTCTGTACCAGTAGGGTGCGGGGGGCTGGGAGGGGACGGGGAGGGGGGAGGGGATGGGACGAGGGTAGGGGTGGGGAAGAGAGGGAGAGGAAGGTACTATGACACGGATATAAAAGCCCTGGAGTGGATTCAAGCATTTAGTGGCACTCAATCCGAGTTAGGAAGATTGTAGTGAAGCTAAGGTAGCATGTGGCATGGAGCTATTTGAGTTGTTGAAGAGTTAGAGAGCTAGAAAGTAACTTACTACTACTCTCTACACGTATATACCTAAAGTTTTTATGCTATACTTTTGGCTACGAAAAGATTTGAAGACAAAACTTCACAAGTTCTAGCCTTTGAACACTTCTCACTCTACACGCAAGCCAGTTCAAAGCGCCGCGAAGCGGCGCTTTGAACTGGTTTTTTATAAGCGATAATTTTTTCAAAAATATTTTTCCGCAGACTGAAGGCACTTTAACAATTAGCTTTCGTAAATCTCTGTTTGAAATTTGAGGTAGAAGTAGCCAGTTTGGTAATCATGCTTTGGTAAACTTTTTCGTTATTCTTCGTTCAACGCAAAATGTCTCAGAGTCAGATACATTTTTTCTCGGTTGTAGTAAAAGGTCAAATTTTCTTGAGTGATTTTTTATAGCAAGTGGCTCCTCTCTGAGTGTTCTAAGTTACTTTGAACGACTTTTCATCAAGAAAAAGAGCTCTCCAAGGAGAATGCAAGTGCAAAGTCGTTGGAAAGAGCATGCAAAGTTAATCGCAGACTCAAGTAAGGGGAAACATAAGAAGCACTAAAAATTCCAGAAAATTCATTTCAAAATACTTAAGCGGCCGTTCCAATCCATGTTTTTGCGTCTATAATAGATATCAAAATTTTAATTGGACAAAACCAATATTGGAATTGAGAAAGGCGAAAATCCTATTCATAGGAACATCCGATGAGTACGGGTCCATCTTAGCAAACAAGACAGAGGCATAAAACTCAATCAAGAGTAGAATTGAAGCTCGCTAGATTTTTAAAGCATTTTTAGCGATCGAAAGTCAGAAAAATACAGTCTGGTTGTAAGCTCTCGTCATGTCAATAATGAATTTTATTCTAAGCACTAATAAAAATGAATTTTTCTTCTGTACACATATGTTTCATCGGACGGATTCGTCATTCGGAGGAACATTACGAGTTTCCAGAAATTTGATACTCTTTGATTCAACTGGGTTGGCTGCTGGAAGGCGGGGCTTCATGACCTGGTTGAGGCTAAATAATGATCAGAAAGCACGCGCGCGACAGAGACGCAGATTGCGTTGCGGGCGCGAGAGGTCTTAATAGGTCACAAAGCTCAGTCTTCCAGCTGCCAAGCCAGTTGAAACAAAGAATAAATTTATCCTCGAGTTATTTGCAGCTTAATCGACACCCATTAACAATTTATCAATAAGGATTATTCTAGCATAATAAATTGTAGGAATATGTGCTACTGTGTACTATTACATATCCAATCAAAAAAGACAAGAAAACAAGGAAAAATCACCCGAAAGAGCAAATCTCTAATTTTAAGAGTCGTCAAGTAAGGCGCATGGTGTGCAAAACGCAGATCAATTTACAAATGACTTGACCATATCAACCTTATGCTGTGTGCTCATACCCGAACTGGACCAATTCATACTTTCATTCCAAAACAAACACTTATTCTCAATCCGCGCAAGCTATCTGGAGAACAAATATGCACTGAAGTGCGATTATAATACCCTGTAAGGCCTCTTCCGCATTTTTCGGTTTACAAAATGCGGTAGTTCTTTGCGTGAGTCACTCGGAAAACTCGTCCGCGTAGCGTTTTTCTCACGTTTTTCACGTTTTTCGCGTAATGGTGTGCTCTCGATCGAATCCATTTGGCTGTTAGATCGCTTCCCCCTATCGACTGTGTCGCTCGTTTGCACTTTGCTATTCTGCACCGTTTCCGGCGCTACAAACTGGCCGCTCCACGTTTCGCCACTGCTTTCGAATTCCTCGCTTCTCTTTCACTTTACTATTAGTTTTTCCCGTAAGTAAACCCCTTTCCTAAATAAATTTAAATGTTTTTTCCTCTCCTAGCAGATTCAGGGTAATATTCGTAGAGCAAAGCAAGCTCTACGAAATGACCAACTATGAATCAATCTAAGTCGAATCCGAAATTGTCGAAGTATGGCCAAAAGTAAAAATTTTCGTACTATTGTGGAAATCGGGTTTCCTTTCAAAAATTTTCTACGAGTCTTCAACTTGGTCATCGTACTATAGACACATATTAGTGTCAATGAATGTATTTGCTGGTTTTTCATTAATCAAAATCAAGACATAAATAGCCCGAAATTGCAAAAATGTCACTTTGTTCATGTTTTTTATGTTACGCTTGGAATTTCTCGGTTACCTGACACATACAGAGCATGGCCTAACAGGATTTCCGTTTGGGGGGAGGGGGGAGGGGGACAAAAAAATTTTCTTTGATGGAGGTGCGTGGCTTCAGCCACGCATTTCAAAAAAATTTTTGGTATGCTTCCCAACTTTTGCGGCCCCCTAAAACCCTGAAATTTCAGGAAGAGGGGACGTACGCTATCCACGCCCCCTTCCCCCCCCCCCCCCGCCGAAGAAAATTTTTTATAAGGTTAGATTTAATTTTTAAAAAATTCAAAAAATTATTTCAATTATTGCATGTATAAACAGGTTTGCACTTTCCTATAACTCATGTAAGTAACTTTCAAATATTCCGAGATCCATTCTCGGGGGTGGCGCCCACCCTCCCCCCTCCCCCTCTCCCTACCCCATTCCCTTGGTGCGCCGCTGATGTCAGAGGTCTAGTTCTAGTTTTACCATAATTGGTATTATCTAGCTATCTAGGTTCTGTGTATTTTACTTATAGGTTCGCAGTATACAACCACATATGTCGAAGGAGTTCCGGGGCGGGAATTGTCATTTTAGACTCTTTTTTCTTGATTTTTTTTGTCGACATCTGTGCGCAAAAAATCAACAAATGCATCCATAAATCTACCATTCATCTGCTGTATACAATCTGTGTCAACCATTCCTTCTATCGGTGCAATCGCCATACTGTTCGCGTTCCACGTTCGCGCGCATATCGGCTTTATTTAAATTGGCGTCATCGATTGAAGATACGCGCGAGGAGCCCCTTGCGTTGCAGATACAGATACGTTACACCTAAGCGAAAAAGAGTATGTAATTGACACAAATTATAAGACCAATCTGATTCGTGGCATGCAGAAGCCTTATTTTTAGGTGATAATTTTTTGCATTTTGGCTACAAACTTTATCATTTGATTCAACTGGCTTCGCGAAAGGCGGGGCATCGTAACCTAATTAAGGCTAGGTAATGATCAGAGAGCACGCACGCGGGGGAGACGCAGACTGCGTCGCGGGCTCAAGCGGCCTTAATTAGGTTACAAGGCCCCGCCCTCCAGCCGCCAAGCCAATGGAATCTTCTACTTTGGTACATAATAGATTTTTTATTTTGTAGGCTAAAACCACTAAAATGTCCGCTAAATCCTCATAGCCAAGCCAGTTGAATCCAAGGTTTAGGTAGTCTTATAGGAACTGTTTTGAAGTAAATTAAATCAGTCTATTTGAAAAAGAGGTTTCCTTTTGAGGCAACCTAATACTTTACCATGGGTTATCATATTGCTGACCATATGAGTTTTCGCCGATGTCCGGTGAACAGCTGTTGAGAAGCTGCTGATGAGCCGGTGTGGATCGGTTTGCATCCGCTCACGGGCCGTCTTTCTATCGCCTCCGGCTTTGAGCACATGTCTGTCGATCGGTCTATGTGTGTGTGCTTTCGTGTCACCGCCAGATTGATTCTTCTCTGGAAAATCGCATCGATTCGTTTTCTGTTTATATTTCTGGAATTTACAGCAGCTGATGCGATGACATTTTCCTCGTCTATATGACTGATATCTGAAATAGTTTTGCCTCGTGAGTGTCATAGCAATCTGTTTATTCACGGTGTATCATTGACCCTAAGAATCTTCCATACAAAAATGCATGACTAAAAATCCTTGATTCTTGTTCCACTTCTAAATCACTCCTTTGCTTTACCATATTTTCCATAAATTGAAGGCACCGCTCACGCAGATCGGAGTTGATGGAGATTTTGACGTTTTATGATAGTGGGGTCCCTAGCTAATTGAGTAACGAAAATTCCGCTGCAAAAAATGAATTCCGAAGCGAGAACAATGCTACAGAAGGTAGGAGCAGTCCAGGTGGCTCCGCCCATCAACATGGGTGGTCTGATAGTAAAAAGTCTAAGATGCCTTTAATTCATCTAGAGTTGTCATAAATCGCCCTTCATTAGAATTATCAAATTTTCGACATTTCTATACCATGAAGCCCACTTCCGAGTTTTCATCCTCAGACCACCCACGTTGATGGGCGGAGCCACCTTGGTCGCTACTAATTCCTGGAGCGATTTTCTCTCTTCGGAATTCATCTTTTGCAGCGAAAGTCGGGCAATTACCTAGTTAGGGTTCTCGTTATTGAGGAGCATCAATCTCAAAATCCTCAGTCTTGGTGGACGGTGCCTTTGAATGGAGTAAGACCCTTTTATTCCCTTTAATCCTCTAAATCATAATTCGTCATGCTATTCGCTTAGCTGTGAAATGCGCAAAACTGAGCAATTTTCGGCGGAGCAGTTGCGACTATAAATCGTTGTAAAATAATGCTAAAGCGTGATTAATGGAATTAGCGGAAGTATAAAGCGGAAGTATAAAACTTAAAAACTGAAATAGCAGCATAATCAATCATGATCTAATTGTGAAAACCTAGAGTGTGTTATTTATAAACTTTAAACATGTGCTATTTTTATTCAGAGAAGTCAAGTTGATCTGTTCGTACGTAGGACTGACTAAAAATAGTGGTCCTTGGCAGTTGTAGAGCCCTCTGCTAAATTTTTGTATGCACTTCCGAAAAATTTTTAGTATGCTCCCTAGTGCAGACAAGTCATTTGCACAATTTTATAACCCATGTAAGTAAGTTTCAAAACCCACCCCCCCCTCGGTACACCACTGCCAAGTACCAATTGCTCCTTTTTGCCTCCAAATCAATGAGCTATCAACCGCATCAGCTCTTGGAAGAAGTTTCTCAAAAAATTTTGCTTACTCAAGGTAAGACTGAAAACCTTCCTTAAGATGGGAATTGAACTTTGTTTTACTTGCACTTTTTACGGATTCGCACTCCTACGTCAAACCAAAAATTTTTCTTAGCCTGTCCTATGTATAAATCCCCGGGAAATTTGATGGGCAGACAGAATTACTAGGTTTTTTCTCCAATTCTAGCAAAGCAAATGTCATTGCTTGAGATTATCCCGCGACAGCTGCTCGAATGGACCTCGCATTCAAATGGGCGCGTTGAACGAAATCGTCGAGTGAATGAAATATAGCCCTGAAGACATAAAGAACGTTTTTGTCTATGAGCCGAAATTCGAGCAAAAATTAGTGCATGGAGAAGGACTGAGGGTGGATTCTGATTATGCAGTTTTTCTTGACAGTTTGCCAGTAATGACAGCCGAAGAGTATCGCGAGCTATGGGAGCCGGTGAAAATTGCTATCAATTGTTTGTTAGATCTAATGCTATACGACGAACAGAAGTTCATCAAAACGAGTGATGTTTTTTGTTAGGGGAGCAGCGGAAGAAGGCAAACCAGGTTTTTTTTGTGAAGAAAAAAAGGGAAAATGACAGTGGTGATTCAGAAAGCGGAATATGCTAACAGTTTTATGCCATTTGAGGATAGTGTGCAAGAAAATTACACAAGAATCAGGAGAGAGGGTAGAAGAATGTAGATCTAAGAGCTTCGAATAACCGTTTATCTATTTTTTGACCTTTTGGTTGGAACAATAGGCAAAAAAGAGCTCGGGCAAATGCAATTGTAGTTGCTCCTGTGGCCGAAGAACATCAAAAAGTAGGTTTTGTAAAATAAGGAGGCACCATTTCTTTTGATTTGGGCTGTCCGGAGATGAATTCTGAGTAAAAAAGAAAAAGGGCTTAGGAAAGTAGTAAACTTATAAATCAAACTTAAAATATCGAAAGAAGACAAAAAGCGACATCAACTTTCTCTCTCCCCCCCCCCCCTCCCGCCAATTCTGTGCCAAAAGGCCTGCTTTCATTTTCTAATATATAATAAATACATTTGAAACTTTGAACAATGAATTTTTGAACCTGCTTCATATAACGAGACTCTCATATCCTGCTTTGCAGATTTCCAATAGGATCCCTTCGTATTTTTTGTAGCTTGATTTTCCCGCCTTATTCTGCACTCCGATAATCTCTCTTATCACAACTTAGTGCATTGCAATCAGCTTGTTCTCAAAAACAAACCAGCATCGATGCGATTCTAGAAAGCAAAACCAAATTTGGGAATCCTATATTTCTGAGGTTTTTACAGTGTTTATCTATGTACCCGTAAGTGCATATAACATGCCCTTTTGCACGACGAAACACTCGCGGAGGGGGAGGGGGAGGATTCATAGAGCTGTACTAAGCGCGCATTTCAACTCATTATCATAAAATTGCCGGGCCTAGCATTCGGCGTTTGTGGCCGTCGTCGACGACGATGAACGACGAACGACGAATGACGGCGTGTCGTTCGCTTTTTTCCATTGATAAATGGTCTTTTGTTCAGGCGAACGACGTTCCGAAATGCCTAATCTACTGATTCGCTCAATCATTCTGTGGCTTCACGTCTAGGTTTTCATTTCCTTGGAATTTTCTGGCATTGAAGAGATTTTGATGCTGTGTGATGGGGGAGCTCCTAACTAAGTATTCGCCCGAGTCCCGTCGCATAAAAATGAATTCCGAAGCGAGAAAATTGCTTCAGAATATACAACCGGCCAAGGTAACTCCGCCCATCGACGTGTGTGATCTGGAGTTGAAAAGTCTGAAATCGGACTTCAATGGATCTAGAACTGTCTTGAATCCTGCTTTATCATGATTATACAATTTTCGACATTTCTATCTACTTTGAAGCTCACTTTCGATCTCATCATTTTCAGACCACCCACGTTGTTGGGCGGAGCCATTTCGGTCGCTACAAATTTCTGGAGCGATTTTCTCGTTTCGGAATTCATCTTTTGCAGCGGGACTTGGGCGATTACTCAGTTAGGGGTCCCCTCTATCATAGAGCATCAAAATCTCACCATCCTCGGTGAATTGGGAGTCCTTCCTCTCCCATAACCCCTTCTGTCAGTCTGGAATATCAGAAATTGTCAAATTATGAAATCACTCTCTCAAAACCTATCTTTTCCTTTTTTGGTCATTACTCTGTTAAACCTCATTTCGCAACTGCCATTATTTCTGTACTTATCGATCGTTTCCAGGATGGCCGATCCTCTTAATGATGTACTGTACCAGCGAATGTTTCGCGTTTTTTCGTATTTTGCCGATGCGACATCAACCGGTACACTGCACCCGACCCAGGCATCATTTATACTCGACGAATTATTACGCGAAGCTGGCCGGCCATCCACATCGAGAGGAAACTCATTTAGTCACGATTCGGTGACATTTCGGTGGGTAATTAGGTCGTTGAGAATGGAAGCGAGACGTGCTGGTTGTCAAAAATTCATGGAATTTGGCGTTTTTGGAGTAATGTGGTCAATAAAGCTAGGTATCAACGGCAATAATTTTTTTGCAGAGAATTGTTGAATCTGATCGAAGTGCAGTTTACGGATCGTAAAGAACTTGAACCAGCTGTTGAACGAGTTTTCGAACGAATCGTAGGGCAAGTGATTAGGAAGGTGAGTCAGGTTATGGTTAACATTGTTAATGCAGAAAATCTGGAAGTACAGTATGGCAGCTTGGAATAGCCTTTCTTGGTGGTGGGGGGGGGGGGGGGAGAGGGCGGAGCTGTCTAGTTTCGGTTTTGTCCGACAATTCTTTTCGGGGTGAGCGAAGGGTGGAGGCAATAGTTGCACCTCCTGAGGAAGCTTTTGGGACATTTTCCGATTTTTATCCGGATCCGTATTCTAAAAAAAATGAGGAGAGGGTGCGAGCCATCTTACAACGCTATCTTCAAAATTCAAAAAGTTCAAGAAAAAATTCAAATTTACGAGTAAAGTCACCTGTGCAGTTTTGTGATCCATATGACACTCAAAGTTTTGCGTCCCATACTCTCCCCCCCCCCCCTCCCGCACATCACCATTTCTTCTCCACCGTCTGTTCGCTACGATTGTGCACAGTGGCGGTTTCAGGACTTCTTCCGAGAAAGGGGGGGGGGGGGAAGGATCTTGAATGACTTTGCGTTAGTTATGCACTCCTAAAATTTTCTGCGATACTTTCCAGAATCTTTGTGGGCAGAAGAATTTTACATGGCTCACTTGAGTTTTTGACAAAATGAAAAGTATCTTCAATTTTAACAAGTATAAACAATTCAGTTGCACACTTTTATAACTCGTATACTTTTGATTTAACTGGATCAGCGGCTGGAAGGCGGGGCTTCGTGACCTAATTAAGGCAAGAGAATGCTCTCGCAATAGAGACGCAGACTGCGTCTGCATGCGCAAGCGGTCGCTTTCCAGCCGTTAATCTCGTTGTATCGAAGGGTATTTAATCTTCAAACATTTCGCGACCTTTTTGGCTTCGATCCGCCACTGTTGTGCAGGTATCTAGCAGCAGTCACAAATAGTTTTGAATTTTGGATAGTTTTTGCAGTTTGATTTAAAAATTGAAACATCAACCGGATATTTATCTGGTTCATGTTTCAAACATCAAAGAAGAGCCGGCTAAAATTACGGCAGCTGCTCCATAACATGATATTGACATACCTGCGCAGGAGGGGTGTGAAGATGTGAGCAAACAGAGCAAATAATACAAATAGAGCATTGCAATTCGTCATGACGCATCGCATCGTGGAACCTGTCTCGCATGGGAATTTCTGCGAGAAGTGCATGCAGGAAGAGGAAGAGGAGGGGGCGGGGAAGGCTCAAATTCAGGGAATCAACGAAATTTATATTCAGTATTTTAACACATTTTGCTAATTCAAAAGTTTTACTTGTAGTACAAATCACACTTTATACGTTCATTTCATTTTAAATTTGTTTTTATTTTACTTTATTCTGTTCACTTTAGAGTAAATTGTAATCACTGTTTTCATTTCCATATTTCATGAGCCTAGAATCCATTCGACCCATTCCAATAAGAAAATGTTTTATGTACTTGAGAAAAATCTACTATGGAATGTGGAACCAGCAGTTGAATCTAAAGTTCGATTTCGTGGCTTTCTTGTCTTGCATCGATTTTCTTGATGGATAATGGAGGCCTGTATGACTCGAGAATTTTTTTTGAAGGTTTCAGAACTTACGATAGGGACAAATACCTGCTTTGGTTTTCTAGAAGTATCTGAAGTAATCATTGTGATGTCATGGCATGATTTGTGAGAAATGAGTTTCAAATTGAATCAAGTCTACATTCCAGTAAGAGGAATGAGCAAAATTCAATTTTTTATCACATCAAGTGGTAAGGTCGGTAGCAAAACCCATTCCACTTTCTTTATTCGGCATCATAAGTACAAAGTTTCAAACTCGTTTACCTTTCCTGAATATACTCACAAAGTGAGGGGAGCAAGCAAGCAAGCATACATGGCATGAAATTTTTAGAAATTGTCGCTAGATGTTCAGATTCACGTTTGCCAACATGCTTGCATTTTCATCCACTTACCGTATTTTGTTTTTCAGTCTTGGATTTTTCTGCGAATTTAAATGGTGGCCTTCGAGCTTAAGATTGACGCAAGAGTCCTTGCGTAATTCCAAAGAAATTCATTAACTTCAACCTTGAATCTATAATAGAATGGGTTTTTACTGACAAAATTTAAGAAACTTCTTTACAATAGTTATTTAAACGCACCTTTAGATGGCTAACGCTTGAGAAACAAGCTTCCAAAAACGGTACTTGCAAATTCGTGACTTGAGTTCGGTCGTAAAAAGTATCAAAGTGCCTGCTATGTATTAGAAATCTGTAGATTTTCTTACATAGCGTAGCCATACATCACTGCAACAGACAATCTCGCACTTCTGAAGGCAAAAAATTCGTTGAAATTGTCTGCAGGGGAAATTCCCCTAAAAGGCAGCGTCCACCCAAAACTTTGCCTCTCATGTTTTTGCTACTGGGCCTTTCCTTTCTGCGATTATGATCTTGAAATTGTCCAGAACCCCCCCCCCCCCCCAAAAACCTGATTCCTGAACCTGCCCTGAGGGCGTGGGCGGCTTTTAATACATGGGTGGGCGGAGCTTGATAGTATCTGGGCGGGGCTTGGTAGCACTTTTGCTTTTTATGGGCCTATTATTCCATTCAGAGACAACATTAGAGGACGGACCAACGCATATTCCTTCTCCTGGGGCCTACATTCATGATCGGCACTAATCGGTGGGGTTAGATTTAGCCTGGACAGTGCCTTTAATATTGCAATGCCTTAATGCCTTTAAAGTGCAATGCACTTTCTCGGCAACACGTAACGAAGCATTCTCCCATTCTATTACGATAACGACTAAAATCTCTTACTCATAGTTTTGGGTAGTGATAAACGCCAATCAATAGAGAACCCCGTTTTGTTTACTTGGTTATTTGATACAGTCTCATTTCAGGGTTTCGTTCTGTTCCGATGTCGTGGCGGAGGTCGCAGCTGTATTCCGAAGATGCAGCGGAATAAATGGCGATCAGGATGGTGTAGTATCAGCCCGGGTGTGATCTACCTTTGGCCACTCGATAAACAGATCAACTCGGACAATCGGGTCACAGCACCTCTCGATGCCGAGACTAGAGTTTCTGTAAGTTCCCTTTTTTGAGAAAGTCTGGCATTTTTTTTATCGCTATAGACACTCCACGTTTAGGATAGCGCAATTGAAGGTGATCGATTTATTTGGGATGTACAAATTGGAAAACGGGTCATAGAATTTGCACATTTTGACCCGCTCATTAGCAGAGGTTTTGTGACAGGTACGCTCTTCAAATGTTCGGTTATAATCGGTCATGAACTTTTTTTCCCGCAGATATTCGCCTAGCCATCGAGCGACCCACTCGATCAGCTTTGCAAGATTTTGATCATAAACGATCGCTTCGACATGAAGGTAACATCTTTGTTTGTTCTTTGTTTTTTTAAGAGCTTTTCTCTAATTTAAATTTCATTATGCACAACGTCAGTGTTTTTACTTTGCTGCTGTCTAAGACTCTCTCTAACAGAAAATGTCTCTATCAACGAGAGCTGATTAGTCATAAAGTGCGTACGTACCATACTCAGAATTTCTATTTCTGAATTTTCTGGTTTGTTGTAGGCTGTATTTTCTATACGGATGCCGAAATGCTGAAATTTAATATTTTTTTCGATAAGTGCAATACCGTTGAAAAAATGTTCGTTGTGCAACTCTTTAACGAAGAAAAAAATCCTTGAAACAAATCCTATCAAAATACCTACATATTAAATGACAATGGAGTGCTTAGTCATTCAGGAAAAGTATAATACACATTTGATATTTTGTTATTTTTCAAATTTATTTCTCTTATAAAGCATACAAACAGATGATTCTCAGATCCTTGCTAGTAGCAGCAATCACTTCAACAAATTTTCTCTTATGAGACAGTTAAAAAATGTAATATGAGACTATATTTAAATATTACAGTATTCAAAGTAACTGCTTTGTTTTTTTGCGAACGAACTTTAAAAAAAGTAAGCGAGTTCTAAAAAAGGACGGTGCCCATTTCATCGTTTTTTGTTTCATTGCCTGTAGTTTTTATCTATCGATTTTTAACAAATTTTGTCTTCTGTCTTCACGCATGAAATTTATAGCGCATTTAACATATTTTATTTAGGTAGGCGTTACGATCGAGAGATCTCGGAGCGGCAACAGCTGGAGACTGAAAAGCGCAGGTTAGAGTTCGAACTGGAGCAGGAGCGATTGGCACTGAAAGACGAGGAGATCGTGCGAGGGCTAGCGACAAGGTCGGGGCGAGTACGAGTTACTACGTTCGTTCTGGGTAATCCTGGGATTTTCCAGAATGTTGGAGGAAGAGAAGCAGAAAAGTGAACACATGGAGCGAGTCTTGGCCGAGCTGCAGCACAAACTCGGACAGCGCCTGGACACGGTGCTGGAGGGGGACACTCCCGAACTCGAGCAGCAGGAACTCGTTTACGAAGAATCCGCTGCTGCTGTGGAGAACGGGGAAAACGGAGAAAATGGTGGCGGTTCCCATGGTCAAGAAGAAGAAGACGAGGAAATCTGGAAAAAAGACGATTTCCTTATGATTTCGACCCAATCAATTTGATAATTCTAATCCAACATGTACGCTCCGTCTCATTTGGAGTGAGTGCGAGTCGAGCGGTTGGTGTGTCGCGCTGCTGCTTTGCATGGGGCTTGCACCGCGTTAGCGAACGTATCTCTGACTATTTTCCTGTGCCTAGTTAGATTGAAGCTTGGTTCTGAGCCTTCTCCCACGCTCAACCGCGTTGCGAATGCGGCGCAAGGGTCCAGGCGAGACGACCGCGCGGCATTCAAGCCCCTTGCGTCGGGCTCACTTTAAATGAGACAAAGGGCTGTGTGTGCCAGTTAAGTGCCAATGCTATGTGAACCGGTGGGCATTCGAGCATATTTTCGCTAAAAAATTGCACTTGCTTTGTCTTTGTTTTTCTTGCAATATTCTGGTCATATTTTTTCTAGCCTGGTATAGAGTGCCAAGATTGTTGATGCCATTTTTTGATTTGTAATAGCTTTGAAAGCAGCGTAGTCAAATAGCAGATGAGAAAACCACACTGGTTTTTTGACGCTTTTTCTTTTTTGCATGTTTTTTCGGTTTTAAACGCGAGAATGACTGATGATTTGTGGGATGTCTATTTTTTTTATAGTTTCCTAGGTACTATTAATTCATGAAAGTCTTTGACATGCATTATTTGTTGTGTTTATAATGAAGCTTACATTGTTTTCAAGTTACCGGTCGTTGTGTCGAAGAAAATCACATTTTTACCAAGTTTGGAAATTATTGTCCAAGAGAGTTTCCACCACCAGTCTTCTTAGAAAGTCGCACTCTATGATTCGTTTTGTGGCAATTTTGTGTGTGTTTTTTTCTACTCTTACGGTTGTGCCACCCATTCACATTGCTTTTCCTCTTGGTATGTGCTTTTATGATCAAAGATTTTGACTTTCAAAAATCCAGAGCGATAAGTTTGATACGCGAGAAGGTTGATGCATCTTACTCATTTCTCCGCTTTTCTTGCTTATGATTTGGCATTTTCGTCATAATAGCCAAAAATTGGTGCAAATGTGAAAATACTGAATGCTTTATGATCATATTGATATTTTTAGCACTTGTTTTTCAATTCAGAAACACGAGCGTGTCAGCTCAAAATTTCGAAGTTGATACACACTTGATCACCTGTTGCTGTTGTTATTTTTCTTTTGTTTTCAGCCCCATTTATTATTATTTATTATTATTAGGTTGTCCGGAAATTAATGCCCGTTTTGAATTTCAACCGCAATAAGTCAAACACCTTTCACTCCTAAATAGGATGCAGAAACCATTCGATAGAGCAAAGCAAGCTTTACAAGAAGGTCATCTTGCTTTTGCAACAGCTTTGATCCATCTCGAGTTTCTAGCCAAAAACTAAAAAGACTCAGCAGCCCGAAAAATCGAAAAAAATCGTAACTCAGTTCACAAAAATCCTACAAAAATTCTTACTTGCTCACGTAAACACTATCCACATAAAACATCCATATACGCCTTTGCCGTATTTTTCCCTCCGTTAGAAACCAAGAAGACGGAAATTTTCATGCATTTGCCAAAGTGGTGCTGTGCCGTTCCCACATAAGTAGTTGTATACCACAAACCTGTAGAAGTACAGACTTAGATTTTCAGCTCTGTACAAGCTTTATTTCTCGAGAAATACCGAATATAGCTTTCCTTAGTTAGATGGTCTACGCTAAAATTCAAATTTCTTGAGAACTAAAGCTAATAGAGAGCTGAGAATTTATGTTTGTACTTCTACAAGTTTGTAGTATACAACTATCTACGTGAGGAGAGCACAACACGACTTTGGCGAATGCACGAAAATTTCCGTTTTCTTGATTTCTAGCAGAGGGAAAAATACGGCAAAGGCGTACATAGATGTTTTATGTGGATAGTGTTTACGTGAGCAAGTAAGAATTTTTGTAGGATTTTTGTGGACTGAGTTACGATTTTTTTCGATTTTTCGGGCTGCTGAGTCTTTTTAGTTCTTGGCTCGAAACTCGAGGTGGGTGAGAGCTGTTGCAAAAGCAAGATGGCCTTTTTGTAGAGCTTGCTTTGCTCTATCGAATGGTACTCTGCATCCTATTTAGGAGTGAGAGGTGTTTGACTTATTGCGGTTGAAATTCAAAACGGGCATTAATTTCCGGACAACCTAATATTATTATTATTTATTGTATAGGAAATCCTATGCATATTACATTCAACAAAACACCAAAGTGTAATTATGATGTTGATGTTGTTATGTCGATACGAGGTTTGGCGAAGCCTTTATTAGTGCGGCCTTACGTTTCGACTTATCGTCGTCTTCAGAGGCCTCAGCGCCGCTTCACCAATGGTGCACTGGTGGTACTGTGCAACCCGTCTTGCGTGTCAGTAGTGCCAATCAAGACGGGTTGCACAGTACCACCAGTGCACCATTGGTGAAGCGGCGCTGAGGCTCTGAAGACGACGATAAGTCGAAACGTAAGGCCGCACTAATAAAGGCTTCGCCAAACCTCGTATCGGCATAACAACATCAACGTCATAATCATACGACATGCCGAGGTTTCAAGAAAGGAGGACATCCGAACTACCAAAGTGTAAGTAACAAAACAATCAACACAACAAATTAGTAGGGCAGACAATCATATGGAGGAATTACGGCGTAAGAAGATAGTTCTCAAGAATTATTTTGAACTGAGACGATTTGAAAGGAAGCATACCCTTTCTCATCAGTTTAACTAGATCGTCGCTAACTTTGTTCGTGAAGATCTTCTCACATTCCTCCCTGCTCTTGGTATTACCACTTTTTGAGGTCTCTCTCTAGTAATAGAACTTCTAGTCTCAAAGAAGTTGGCAGGGAGTTGGCAATCTCCGAATAATATTTTGTGAGCCATAATAAGATCAAACTTCCGTCTTCTATTGATAGGCTGACCAATCCTAAGACCTTATTTCGATCCTTTCCGTTGGGTAAAAGCTCGTATTTGAGACCTTTGGTTCTAATCAACAACTTCCTTGTAAAGCTGTTTTGTACTCTTTCTAGTACTTGTACAATTCTCGGCTTCATTGGATTGAAGATTACCGTTTACTCCAGTAAAGGTCTTTACACCTTATATGCCCTCATGAGAATATCAAAATCAGTTGTGGAAAGGGCTCTAAACAGATTATATACTGCCGAAATTCCTTTACCTTCAATATTTTCGCAATGTTTATCGAAATCCAGCCGACTATCACTAAAAATCCTAGATCTCTTATCTCTTCAACATAATCAAGAACTTCACCCTTTATCTAATAATTGTAATCGATGACCGGAGGTCCGAGGTGAAGAACTTTGGTTTTGTCTCGTGAAATGGGCAATTGCCAGGTATCAGACCATTCTACTACTCGCTTTAGTGCTTCTTGCATTTTTTTTTCTTATCTGCTACTCCGTCTACTGAATTGTATATCTTGAAGTCGTCGGCAAATCCACAGCATGTCACTCCTACCTTATTGGGGACAACACTCCGCCTTGTGGGACTCCACTAGGCACTGCCCTCAGGCTAGAAAAAGCTTCTCCAATATGAACACTGATGGTACGATTATCCAGAAAGGAAGCAATCCATGAAACAATAGAAGGATGAATTCCAACTAGTTTTTGTATAAGTCTCGAATGCGACACCTTGTCATATGCTCTCGTAAAATCCAGATAGACAACATCAATCCCCTTATTTTCCTCCAACCAACGGGTCCAATCATTTAGTGAGTATAACATGGAAGTTACGGTTGATTTTCCCTTCTGTCCGTGCTGTGCTTATGAGATTATGCTTTGATCTTGCAAATGTTTTAGTATTAGCTTTTTGATAATTTTCTCAAATAATCGTTCAAAAATTGATGTGATACTAGTAAGTAGATCAAATGCTCTCTTATCTTCAAACCTGGGCATTTTGTGAAGTGTCAGTATATGCCGTGTTATGCCAAACCAGGTTTTTGGTGGATCTTTATTGGACCTGACGGTTTCGACAGTCTCGTCTTCTTCAGAGGTCTGAACGAAGATCATAGGTTTTTTTCGAATCTGGACTTATACCGCCAAGAGCCTCCTCTCTCATCGCGCCAGTCTAGACCTACTCATAGGCTAGCAGCGTGAGATCATCGAGGTTTGGAAACGAGCCGACCTTGGAGGATCCACCGCATTTCAGTAAGCCCGCACAGATAGTCAGTAACGGAGCATGTATGACTTGTAACATCTTCAAGTGGTCTGGGACTTATTACTCTCAGATACGAGGACTCGCTATGGGTCAATGCCTAGCGCCTGTCCTCGCGATATGTTTCATGAGCAGAATTGAGGAACCAGTACTTGAACGCATGCCTTTGATGTACTGTCGTTACATCGACGACTGTTGTGTGATAACCTCCACTCAAGCTGAAATGGATTTCAACATCTTGAACAAACAGTCCCAGTACATCAGACTCACCCGAGAAACACCGCATAACGGATGGCTTCCTTATCTCAATACCCAGATTAATTTGTCTGACGGTATTTTGCGTGTTAAGTGGTATCGTAAGGAAACCTCCAAGAACATTTTGATCCACGCCAACTCAGCTCACCCCGCAGCAACAAAAAGAACAGTTATTCACAACATGATCAAGACTGCTACAGCGGTGTGCACGGGCAACGGTCGAACGGTTCGAATCGCGAAAACTGGCAATGAAAATCGCGCGTAGTAACGGCTATGTACAACAGGAACAACACCGTAAATCTTACACGCAGTTTGAAAAACATGTCCGTGAGCGCTGCGAAAACAAAATACCTCTTTGCTTCCCGTTCATATCAGAAGAGTCAGTGCGGCGATTAGACAATGCATAAACCGAACTCAACTGCAGAATGATATCATGCTTGTCGATATTCCGAATGTTAACTTGAAGAAGCAGTTAGTTCGCAACAGGATGTACGATAACGAATGCGTCTTAGAACAATGCATTGTATGCCCCTACGGAAGAACTGGAGATTGTGCAAAGGCAGGTATAATATACCAGTTGGAGCGTTTGGACTGTCAAGATTGCTATATAGGAGAGACGGGTAGAATGCTAGGTATAAGGCTGAAGGAACATCTGACCGGGCAAAGGCGAGGATTACTTACAACACCGTTGGGACGACATAAGGCTGAGAAACATGGTGGGAATGATTATAAAATTAAACTATTTTATCGTATGAGACTGAGATATGCGCTAGAAAAGTACTTGAAGCAGCGTGGATATGTGCAATAAAACCGAAAATGAATCTCAAGAATGAATGTCTGTCAATCAGCAGTGATCTCATACCGTATCTATCGTTATGTGATCTCACAACCGCACATAAAAGCCTTGACAAGCTGGGTGACACTCAGTGACGTCCGTTACTGACTATCTGTGCGGGCTTACTGAAATGCGGTGGATCCAAGGTCGGCTCGTTTCCAAACCTCGATGATCTCACGCTGCTAGCCTATGAGTAGGTCTAGACTGGCGCGGTAAGAGAGGAGGCTCTTGGGGGTATAAGTCCAAATTCGAAAAAACCTATGATCTTCGTTCAGAAGTCTGAAGAAGACGAGACTGTCGAAACCGTCAGGTCCAATAAAGATCTACCAAAAACCTGGTTTGGCATAACACGGCATATACTG